GCGTACATCAGCCTTTAAAAAAGCAGCCGTCTGTCGGAAAGTGAGTTTTGTGTATTGAATATTTAGACCTGCTGCATTACAAACGGCATAAATGATGCTTTCGATGAGAACTGAGTGGAAAACACTGGATACCGGCGGGCGAGAGACACGCTTATAAGCGTAACACATTTCTCACCGCACATATCCTGTGCAACGAAGCCCACGGCTGGCCTTGTAATTAGCTTCAACCTTTATAGAAGATTATGTTATAGAAGGTTCAAGGGTTTTATGTGTGTGTGTGTGTGTGTGTGTGTGTGTGTGTGTGTGTGTGTGTGTGTGTGTGTGTGTGTGTGTGTGTTTAGTGCACACAGTGACATTGTGCATCTGCGGTTAAAATTATCACAGTAGATATTTCTCTCGCCTCCCAGTGCACATGCTGAAGGGCTTCTCTGCGCTACACATACACTACATTGTGACACACGTACACAAACCTGAGGCTCCTGCTCCTCTCCTTCCTGCTCTTTGAAAAGCTCTTCCGCACCAAACTTCAGGATGGCTGACAGCTCCTCCTTGTTGAATGGAGTGGAACTGCAGAGGTATCAGACCATAATATTGCCATTAATCTATACATTATACACAGCAGAATCTCCACTAAGAATAAACACCGCCGTTCAAAAGTTTGCTCTTAAAAGAAGTCTCTTCTGCACACCAAATTTGATAAAAAATATAAAAACAGTAATATTGAGAAATATTAAAATTTTAAATAGCCCTTTTATATGTGAATATAATAGTAAAGTGTAATGTATTCCTGTGATCAAAGCTGAGTTTTCAGCATCATTACTCCAGTCTTCAGTGTCACATGATCCTTCAGAACTCACTCTAATATGATGAAACATTTCTGATTATAATCAACGTTGAAAACCGTTATGTACAATTTATTTAGGATTCTTTGATAAATAGAAAGTTCAAAAGAACAGCATTTATTCAAAATAAAAAAATTTTTACATTATAAGTGGGTTACTGTCACTTTTTCATTACTTTCATTTATATTTCCTAAAAAAGTTAAACACAAACTTTTGAATGGTAGTGTATAATGTTACACACGATTTCTATTTCAGATAAATGCTGTTGTTTTGAACTTTCTATTCATCAAAGAATCCTGAAAATAAATTGTACATAACGGTTTTCAACACTGATAAATTCAGCTTTGATCTCAGGAATAAATTACATTTTATATAATATAGTCAAATAGAAAACGGTTCTTTTAAATTGTAATATTTCACAATATTACTGTTGTTTTCCTGTTTTTTTATCAAAATAAAAGCAGCCTTGAAAAAAAAAATCTTACCGATCCCAAACAAATAACGATTATTTTGATAATACACTAATATAACAATTAAACCAATTGACTATTCAAGCATTTCTTTAATTGAGTACTTAATCAAAGCATATTCAATAGTAATAATTAGTATTTTTATAGAACAACTGTACAATCAATCCTAATAATCAATGGCAGTCTTAATTTCTTTCCTTAAATAGTTAAACCATAGAGGAACACCGCAGTGAAACCTTAAAGCTTTTCTTTTGTTCACAACAGATTGATAAAGGATTCTCAGTGCAAATTTGGGAAGATGGTTGTTTCAAATGCACGTCATAAGCAATGATTCTGCTTTATTACATTGAGTGTAAACGGTGGCTGATGGATAATGAATCGCCAGTGGAGAGACAGCGTGGGACAAAGAAGCACAAAGAAACACAGCAGCTTTACACACTACAGTAAAAAAAGTATGTTTATGATATAGTTCAGCAACACACGACCTAGAGTGCCGTTTCCCCTAATACCAGCAAGATTGCAAATGTGACATTGATTTTATCCAGTTCAATAAACAAGTAGGTAATATTTCAGTGACTTACATTTTAGATACAATATTGACCATTTTCACCAACTAAACTAGTTCCTAACAAAGCCACAGTAGAACAACTGAGTCAATGATTCAATGACCCATTCATAAAGCCAGTGGCTGCGTCCCGAATCGCATACGAGGTACTTGTGTTGAATAATTACTTCGCAACTGTTAAGAGTGTATTCTATATAGAATGTAATATGGATGTACTAAATTCACCATGTTGTCATTATTGTGTGACCTAACAGCGTCAGTGTCATTCACAATCCTCCCCCGTGGCCTCATGGGATAGTAAAGTGTCCATCGTATGCAGGATCAGAATCTCTCCGGAAGCAGAAGGTCGTCCGGGGGCTTTCTCCTACTCTTTTATGAGTACTGTGAATTCAGACATACGACTTGTCACACTGTTTTTCGCCTACTATATAGTGGGGAAGTGTGTGATCTCAGACGCAGCCAGTCACTCGCTCAATTCTTCAATGAATCAGCCGTTTGAATGAAATTGGTTGAATGAATCACTCATTAATATGCCACCACCTACTGGCAGTTTAGTTTCTTATTTTGAAAACATTTCCAAAAAATGATTTAAAAGATTAATCTCATAACATTATTTGTGCAGTTGTAATTTAGCAGTGTGAATGCACTCATGCTACCGCTGAGCTTCTGTGTTTCCTCTGCAGTGAAAACATGGATTTTGTTGATACCGATTTCCTTTGATTGATAGCAGCCCTACAGCATCTTATTATTATTCTAATGGAATTCATTAATAAAATGTAAGAGCTTGACATGAAAGATGACATTTAATACGGTAAAAACGACTGCCCTGACAAGAGAATGACCAACAAGCACAAGACACAGTTTAATGCCAAGCCCTACACATACATATTTACACTCAATTATTTAGCAATTTAGTCAGGTTATATATTTGTATCTGTACCTGGAAGGAGCAGCACCCGTATGGAGGACCGTCTTCCCCGTGGTGTCCATCCTCTGAATCACCAGGTGGTCCAACACCATTTTCTTCTTGGCTCTCTCAATGATCTCCTCCTCAACTGAGCCCTTCGTCACCAGACGGTATATATTCACCTGAGAGAGATTCAATAGAAGACATTACAGAAATGGACTAGACCAAGTCATAAAGAATAAACGGCACTGATATTACTTTTATCATATAACAATGATTTTTACACATTTTGTTTTAAGCAACAAAGTAAATTCGTAACAAGGTATCTAGAATTATTTACTGTATTTCAAAGTGTCCATGATAACAATACTGTGCAAGTTCACTAGTATAGACTAATCAGTGCTAATACACACAAAAACGTTCACTATTAGGCCTCCGCAATTGACAAAATTACCATATATTGCCCTTTAAACTGCAATTTGACAACCAGCAGCAATATAAAATTTAAATATTTCACCACAGAATTTTACCATTTTCAAACATACGCCGTAAACTCTGCATAGCTACAGCGGTTATAGCATAGCCTGCTGAATATCCCTTTCGATTTTATGCTCTTTTTGCTGCCCTAATCAATATAAATACAATAAAAACCAGCACACGCTACATAACTGATGTACAGCACGTAATGTAATGTGGGGAGGTAATGCTGACCTGTTTTTTCTGCCCAATCCTGTGCGCTCTGGCCTGGGCCTGCAGGTCATTCTGGGGGTTCCAGTCGGAGTCGAAAATGACCACCGTATCCGCAGAGGCCAGATTAATGCCCAGACCACCCGCTCGCGTCGACAACAAGAAGCAGAAATCCTGCAACGTCAGAGACAAGCTCATACAGAGACATGTACAGGCATCATAGAAAATCATGCTCAATTTTTAAAACAACTATACATTTTTTATAGAACTAAAAAATGTATTATGAAGACTTTGAGTGTAATGCCTAATATATTATAATAATTGTTCCAGAATTGGATGAAATCAAGTCATGACATAATTTTTGTGACTTCACAGCACATCGCAATCATAATGTAAGTAAATCAATGCCAGTACAAATATTTACACCATTAATAACCAGTGATTTCACACATACCTCAGAGCCCTCCGCATTAAAGTGATCCAACGCCTGCTTCCTCATCTCACCCTTTATAGAACCATCCAGTCGCTGCAAACACACACACTTTCATAAGTCACACCTGAGCCACAAACACTGCGGTTAAACCCAGATGCCCTGCAGCGAGTGAGTGCCATCACCTGGAATAAGAACTGCCGGTACTTCAGGTACTCCGCTAGGATGTCCAGCATCCGAACCATCTGGGAGAAGATGAGCACACGGTGCCCTCGTTCCTTCAGCCGAACCAGCAGTTTATCCAGAAGAATCAGCTTCCCACTGCTGCGAATAAGGTGCTGCAGGAAATAGATATCCGTTCAGTCTGTGTGAAGTCACTGCTAGTAAGGAACCACTACCCTGTTGTGGCGCTCTTTCAATTGGGGGTGGGCGATATGGCAAATACATATACCACGATTCACTATTTTATCATGTTGGTTTTACTATTTTGCAATGACTGAGCAGAACAGCCAAACTAACTAATTTCCCTATTTAAAAAAAGAAAAGAAAAAGAAGTGTGACAGTCATTTAGGCCCAAGTAGGGGTGGGCAAAGATGAACATTTTTCAATATTTTGATTAAACATCCATGATTAAAAATCTTGATATCGCACACCCCTACTTTTAAATGCACAAAGCAAGTTTACGTGTACGGGGAAAACATTAAGACATCAGCATACTCAATCTGGCTTTAGCACAAAAAAAAATATTTTTCTCTGCAAATGTCACTTTGGGTTTTTTTTAAGTTAACTAAGCTTGTTAGTTTTTGTAACTAAACTTATATTTTTAATTGATAGGTTTTTTAAACTTGAAAGACAAAATTAGCTTAGTGGTAAAATCAAGCATCTTTTAACTTCGACTTCTTAGAAAGGTCAAGCCGTACCTGCCACATAGCCAACTGGGAAAAGTTGTGCATGCCTTGATTACAAATCGTTTGGACTATTGTAATTCTTTATATTATGGTCTTGATCAGTGCTCAATCCGCCGATTACAACTAGTCCAAAATGCAGCTGCACGTTTGTTGACAGGGAAAAAGCGTAGTGACCACATCACCTCTGTATTGTCTTCTCTCCATTGGTTGCCTGTTGCTTCCACAATCCATTTTACAATTTTATTGCTCGTTTTTAAATCTCTAAATGGATGGGCACCATTATACTTATCAGATATGCTTATTTTGCACACTCCAGTTAGAACACTAAGGTCAACTGGCCAGTTGTTTTTAGACTGTCCAAGGTCAGAGAGGGGACAGAGAGCTTTTTCAATAGCAGGTCCTACGCTCTGGAAGTCTCTTCCTCTCAGTATTAGAGCAGCTACCTCTGTTGAGCGTTTTAAATCATTGTTAAAAACTCATCTTTTTGCACTGGCGTTCTAATATTAATCGAGCTGTGACATTTTATTATGTATTGTCTGTTTTTGAAATAGTTTTTATCTCATGTTATTTCTCTACCTGTATAGCACTTTGGGGCAGTAGTGACTGCTTGTAAATGTGCTTTATAAATAAACTTTGACCTTGAATAACTGTGGCCAATGTCTTGGATGTTTCGATGTACAGTGCAACTAATAAACGAGCGCTTCCCCTCTGCAAGACGAAACGCACCTGCAGGCCCTCTTGTCTGTTGTAGAACTCGGTCTCGTCAGGGGGTTTAATGAGGTAGCAGTGGTTACAGCATTTCTTCAACTCCATCATGACGTTGAGGAAGCCTGACGTGCTTCCTTTAGTTCCTTTACTCAGGGCTTTATAGTTCCTCGTCAATATCCACCTAAACAAACAATTTAATCCATTAATCAATTTGATCTCTCGGAGTGATAAATCTATAGCGAAGGGTGACTTTTCTCAGGGAGGAAAAAAAAATCTGTTCGAATATAGAATGACATGCCACGATGAATCATGAACAAGACCATGTTTACAGTAAAATATGGTCCCAATTTGTAAAAGCTCATGTTTGTGCATCAGTGCACTGGTTGTCTTACTTGTAGTATTGTTTCTGAACAGCGCTCATCTCTACCCTGAGGATCTGCTCCACCTTGGCAGGCAAAGATTTCTCCACATCTTTCTTCACTCTGCGCAGCAAGAAGGGCTCCAGCTCTTTATGAAGGCTGGTATAGCCCGAGTCTCTGCCCTTCCCATGCTCCTCTTCAAACATCTCCCACGAGTGAAATCTACCAACATACAAGCTTATATCAGTGACATCCGACTAAACCAAGACAAGAATGTGGTCAGCTCGTCTCTCTAAGGTATCAGCCTTTAAGAATAAACCACAAAGAGTTACAAGAGCTGCCAAAAACACCACATGAAAAGCTCAGCTGCTACAGTAAAGTCATCCTGAACAAAAAGAGCAGGCTGATAGAACAAGAGCACACCTACTTGTCAGGCATAATAAAGTGTAGCAGAGACCAGAGCTCTTTGAGTGAGTTCTGGAGGGGTGTGCCAGTGATCAGGAGCCTGTGGTTGGACTTGAACTCCATCATAGTCTTGTAGAGGAGAGAGTCATCGTTCTTCAGCCGATGGGCCTCGTCGACACCTATGAACGCCCAGCTGACATTTCCTAAAAATGACTGCAAAAGAAAATAACAATGAGCACGCCGGTCTGCTGAGATACACAATACGTTTCATTTACACAGGTAACAAATGTCATTAAAGAATAGGACTGGGTATCGTCCGAAATATATAGTGTTATATTATATTTACGTTACCGCTCAAAACTAATTCTTTCAGATTAGTGTTTCCTGTTAATATTTTTTAAAAGTGAAATTTAATGAAATGATAATGGACACCCACTGATGAAAAGCACAAGCTGGTAGCTTAAAATAAAATAAAAATCTATATTTATTGGCAACCTTTCTAGCACAGTATCTCTGTGTGAACGTATGTTAATATATTGGGGGGGGGGGAATAAAGCCTTTAAATTTCAGGCAAAGCATAAATGTAATGAAATTGAGAACAGTAAAAGTACTGTATTACACACTTCCTGTTCAACCGTTTTTAATAAATATTCCTAGATTTTGTTTTACAAGTACGTCACAAATATAAGCCCTATTTCTCATCATCATTTAATACCGGATCATGTGACTATTGGAACAACAGATTGGCTATTTCGAATGAATTGAACATGCACAATGTTTCCTGACGGTTTCTTACTTTTAGACTAGTCTAATAGCTTATGCAAAATATACATTTAAGTGTAAATTAGTCTCGACTCGTGCTGTACCTTATCCTTCAGCAGAATTTCATATGTAGTAAGCAGAATGTTTAACTTCAGTCGCTTGGTCTGCGGATGCATCCATTCATGTGTCCGGATCTAAAGAACACACAACAATCGTCAGCTTTGAGTTGAAGAAATCTAGGATCAGCTCACTTTCATGCATTTTTTAACATTATACCATGTTTCTGCTGTTGATGTCTCCCAGGTACACCACAACATTCATCTGAGGCGCCCAGAGCTGGATCTCCCTCTGCCAGGACGTGAGGGTGGACAGAGGCACCACCAGAAGAAAGGGCCCGTAAAGCTGGTGATCATTGAACATGTAGTTGAGGAAGCTGATGGTCTGGATGGTTTTTCCCAGACCCATCTCATCTGCCAGGATACAACTGTTTCCTCTGGGAAAGCAGAAGAGTAGAAGTGATGAAGAAACTCATGAAATCATGACTGATTGAAACCGGGGTTATGTCTACTAGGAGTGAACGAAACTAGCATACTTGCACCAAGAATGGGCCATCCAGTTGAGACTGTCCAACTGATAGTCCCGCAGCTCTAGGCCGTCTCCACCGATGTACAGAGGCTGCTTCTTCATGGGCACAAACCGGGGTCTCTGTTTTAAAACCTGAAAGAAACCACACAGGAAACTGGTTGGAGAGCTCCCGGTTTCATTGGCTTTCTCAGATGAGCGTTCACGGTGTTGCCTGCGGTTACCTTGCAGTCTCTGAAGGGGATGGTTTTGCTCTGGTTTCGGCTCATGTATTCATCGATGCACTTTTGAAACTTTCTAGAAATAAGAGCACCGTCTTCCCAACTGCACTCCGAGTACGGCAGCCCCTGCCATTTACAAAGGTAGTCGGGATAACCTGCCGCAGACTTTTGATTCGAATGTCCTGCAAGATTCAAGCAACAATGAAAGTAAATAAACACTCGTTACTTTTCTCCATTCTGTCACCTGATGAGTTTTGGTTCCTTGCCACTGTCGCCTTTGGCTTTCGGCTTGCTTTGTTGGGGACACTTAATACTCAACAATATTATTGATCTGCCTGCACTGACACCATTATATGAGAACTGAACTGAGCTGGACGATGACATCACTGTTTTCTCCAGATATACATATATATATATATATATAAAAAATGAACTAAATGAATAGGGGTGTAACGATATTCGAACCGAAAAACCACGATACAGAACACGCCCCGCCCGGACATTATAGTAATGTGCAGCTCCCTATATAGTTTACATTAGCAGATTTTTTTTTTATCTTGCAAAACGTTTAATTGTAATTTAATTAATTTAAAGACACAATTTTTTCATTAAACCACTGTTTAAAAAAAAAAAAAAAATTTAGCTTTCTAAACCGAACCGAGGCGTCAAAACCATGGGAAAACCGAACCGTCAGTTTTGTGTATCGTTACACCCCTTTAAATGAATAACTTACAACAGACATGAGCTATCACTGAACTTCCTTAAAGGAGCATTTCACCCGTGGGAACATTAATCTTTATTGAAAGTGGGTCACATATGTAGTCGAAATGTAACGTAAATTTTGAATTTGGTGCCTTCTTGATCGAGGAAAGACAGAAAGTAACTTTAGGGCGCATTTGTATGGAAAACAACAACTCCCACAATGCACCACATTGCACAGCTCCGCAAGCCACTCCCACTAATCCAGAACACCGCGAAACTAGGATGGTTCACAAGACAAATGTCCGTGTCCTCGTCTGATTTCGTCCAGGAGAAATTGGTATCGTTGAAATTCTTTGAAGCAGACGGACTATCTCTGTGTCCAGTCCGCCCGGCTCGAGCCAGTCTGGGCTCCTCGTCCGCTCCAGTCCGCCCGGCTCGAGCCAGTCTGGGCTCCTCGTCCGCTCCAGTCCGCCCGGCTCGAGCCAGTCTGGGCTCCTCGTCCGCTCCAGTCCGCCCGGCTCGAGCCAGTCCGGGCTCCTCGTCCGCTCCAGTCCGCCCGGCTCGAGCCAGTCCGGGCTCCTCGTCCGCTCCAGTCCGCCCGGCTCGAGCCAGTCTGGGCTCCTCGTCCGCTCCAGTCCGCCCGGCTCGAGCCAGTCTGGGCTCCTCGTCCGCTCCAGTCCGCCCGGCTCGAGCCAGTCCGGGCTCCTCGTCCGCTCCAGTCCGCCCGGCTCGAGCCAGTCTGGGCTCCTCGTCCGCTCCAGTCCGCCCGGCTCGAGCCAGTCTGGGCTCCTCGTCCGCTCCAGTCCGCCCAGCTCGAGCCAGTCTGGGCTCCTCGTCCGCTCCAGTCCGCCCAGCTCGAGCCAGTCTGGGCTCCTCGTCCGCTCCAGTCCGCCCGGCTCGAGCCAGTCCGGGCTCCACGTCCGCGACAGGTCTTCTGCCTCCGCCTCCTGTTCCTCCATCAGCCTCGGCTGCTCTTCGCTGTATTGCGGCTCGTAAAGGTAGGTAGCCACGAACATCTGAGTCAAGCATCAGACTTTCGAAATCCTCTTCTTCCATATCATACTGAGTACCTTCCGCCATTGTCGTGACTTCACATCTGCCTCCACAGCACCTGCTAGCTTAGCTTCCAAACAAGATGGTGGATATTGCTTTTAGTTTCTGCAAGTGCAGTCACAGCCACTGATCTGTAATAGGTCTGTAGTGTGAGCGGGTCCCACCCCCTGGGGACATTTTTGTAGTCTCAACCCATCTACAAAGATATGGGACTTCCTGCTTAGAATGACGCAAAATGGCGATTTTTACATCATTATAAGCAGGAACTGCAACACTGAAATCCATATTTCTCCCGTCTCAGGGGAAAATGAGGGAAAAATGCACGACCATTCAAAAATATGACTGGGTTTCTAACGATACAAAGCTTAATGCAAATGGGTAATGTGCTCCTTTAAGCTGGACTGTGACGCTATTTTCTTCTAGAAACAAACTTTGATGCATTATTTTCCTGTTATCACTGTAAAGCTGCTTTGAAACACTCTGTATTGTAAAAAGCGCTATATAAATAAAGGTGACTTGACTCGTGAGTCAGAACAATCAATCAAAACAATGAAAATTGGAAAATCTTACCAATGATTCTTTCCACGATTTGATACTGAGAATGCAAGTCATCCATGAGCTCCTGCTGGCAGTTTAAGTACTCCACATCTTCAGGCGAGGCCGCTTTGAGCCTGTGGACGGCAGCGCAAGAGAACAAAATGAACATCTAAAGCCACGTTACCTACAGGAAAAGAGGTTTCTGTAAGCATTCGTACCATTTCTTCTTCTCCTGCTCTTTTTTCTTGAAGTTGTCCAGTTTCTTCATGCCCTTGACGTTCTGTTGTTTGAGCGTCTCCTCCGTCTCCCAGGTGTTGTGAATGTGGGACCAGTTCTTCCATTTCATCAAGTATTGCACCTCTCCTGGCTGTCTGTTGGGGTCGAAGCTGGCGTTGGGGTCTCCATCTGCCTCTACGGCATACACTGTGGTTACGGCACCCGTTGCTGTTAAGGAACAAGACAACATTTCAACAAAAGTATTGGTGTCACTATAAAAAGTTCCTTCTAAACTTTCCACCGAGCTGATTGTGTTGTCATTAGGGGTGTAGCGATGCCCTCATGTCACAATTCGATACATATCATGATATTGAACTCACAATATGATATTATTGCGATACTGCAATACATATGGTAAAAGGTTAACAAAAATTGTTTTACTGTTGATTAAAATGCTAAAGTTCATCAAAATTGTCCTCTGTATATCTAGTCAGTGACAGAGTTCAAGTATATTCGTCTGAAATAAGTCAGTATTTTCAGTTCCAGAATCATGAAGAGTGAAAGGTCGGAAGACCGCAGTTTCACGTGGAGCATTTGGAGATTTTTAGAGATTAGAGACTCTAGGAACAACATCTCAATGAACAACATCTCAACACTAAATTATAAAGGCCTGTCTCATATAGACGCCTGTCTCAAATACAAGCCGGTGCAGTTCGACGATTTGGGAAAATAAAAGCCCGGGCTATTGTTTCAAGTTTTACGGTAGTTATAGGCTTCAAGTCCACAGATCAGCAACATTAGATAACATTTGATTTAAGTTCAAGAGTTTCTTTAACACTACCATTTTTATCTTAATAAAAGACAAAGATGATATTTTTGTTTACATTTTTTTTTATTTTTGACTGCTAAGACTAATATAATTTGTTGTTTGCCTTAATGTGGTTAAATAGAAAAATAGTGGTTTAAAATGGCAATAATTAATCGATACCGAACGATATTAAATATTATATCGCAATACATTTTTTAGCTATATCGCACAGCCCTAGTACAGCATTTCAATTTCAGGACCATTATTCTCACCTCCTTTCCGACCTATCCTCGATTCCATGACTCTCTCCAGTGTCTCGAACTCGTCCTCCTCTGGGGGCGGGACGTCCTCTCCACACACCTCCACCAGGTCGTCGGAATCCGTCTTCAGTTCCTCATCTTCTTTGTAGCTCACGTTGACCGTGGCCTGCCGCCGAGGCCCCGCTAGGGCTTTCTTATAATCGTCGTCTTCATCTGAGGAGGAGCGCGAGGGCTTCTTCTTCGGAGCCTTGTTATTTCTCCCATTCCTGGCAGTGGCCCTGAGAGATGGACAGATCTGTTCAGTTAAGGAGTGTTTGCTCAAAAGAGAATTAAACAATATAGCCATAAGCACCAATCATTAGGATCCAAGCATATGTGAAAGAGCATGACCAAAACCACGAAGGTTGGAAGCATGGATCCCGTGGAAGTTGTGGGTACATGTATTTTGATGGCAACCTTTGTTTTTATTGTTATAGTGCTGTCTTGCATTAATTTAATTTGGCCTAAAATGACTTAAAGAAATGTTGAAGACAACTCTCATAAAAATACATTTGCTCACATCTTTCAAATAGCACCCTCAATATGCCTTAACACACTGAATAAAAGGGAGTTTGGTGGTTGTTAAAAATCAAATACTCATGGGCCACGTCAAAAAATTGTATTGGCTTATCCATTAAAAAAATCGTGAGTTTCTGACTCGTTGTTCACAAGGCTTCATATGTTATGCACTTTTTGTGACCAACAAAATAGGAGTTATTTTTTCAGACATTTTAAAATGCCATGAGCATTTTTAGATAATTTTTTTCCAATGAATAAAACAAAGCCATGACGACTCCAAAACTATAACAGTCATTCAATGAAATCTGACACACATGCTCTTTGGAGAAAGAGATAACCCTATATTTATCCAATCAAAATTTAGCAGGTAGTAACTGGAATTATGACTCTTATTTAACATGGGGCAGTGTCCAATGAGGCTGTGACAAATGTTGTGAGAATCAGCACAAAGGAGGTGTTTTTATATTACAGAAGGTATTCACAGAAAGGGTCAATTTTGATGTCATGTTCACTTTAAAAGACACCAAACAGTGGATGACTTTAGATAAAAAAAAACACATTAGATAAAATTAGTGCTGGACCAAAATAAAAATCTGGGCCGAAACCAACAATTCAGGATGCACTTTTTTTTTCTTTTCTTTTTTATTACTTAATTTAATTAATTTTAGTGTTGCGCTGAAACAAATTTCTCATTTCCATTTGATATTTTTGTATTTTATTTTGAAGTGCCCCTGATAACAATACTGCGCATGTTCATTATTGTGATATCGTATTACCGTACATCGGCAAAAGAAATAAATAGCGATTATTGGATGGCATGCACATGTTGCAGTTTTGCTCACGCATCCACAGAAAACAGCATAAACTGAAGATCATGGCTGCATTTCTCACTACACAAAACAGCAAAAGTGACCAAGATCAGGTGAAAACTGTACTTGTTTGAAGGTTTTCTGCTCTTGACTTTGTGACTGGGCTCATAGTCAGACACCGACTCGTCACTGTGCCCTTCCTCCTTTTCTGAAGAGTCCGATGAGCCACTTCCTGAACCCGATCCCGAGTCCGATCCAGACCTACACACACACACACAACACCAGTGTAAATGCAGAGTGAGGCAGTAACCTCATGTTTACTAGCGCAGACGGCTTCCCTCGACTCACCCTTTACTCCTGCTCTTGGAGTCATCATCCGAGTCATCACTACTGGAAGAGTCCTGCAGGCGATAAGAGAGAAGAGCGAGTGAGAAACGAGAGGGATTTGGGGAACGGTGGTGACTGAGGGGGTGAGCGTGCAGTACCTCGTCTGAGCCGGTGTTTGAGGAGCTCGGCTGCTGCTGGACCTGCTGCTGTTGCTGGAGCTGCTGCTTCCGGATCATGGCGGACCGTTGCACTGTCAGGATACTGGGGTTGGACTTCCAAAACTACAGCGAGGGGAAACAACAGGGATGATGGTGTCAAACATTTGGACGCTCCTGTACAGTGCCTACATTTTAAAGAATCACACATGCTCTAAATGCAAACGCTGTGAATGATTATGAGGACAATATCAAGAAATGTTCATTTTAAAGTACACTTAAGTAGATCGCAATGTACAGTCAAACCAAAAATTATTCAGACACCAGATATAATTTTTGATATTTTTTACTAGTGTGTGCAGGACACTATAGTTCATTTATGTAAGCGAGGAGAGCCAAATAAAGTAAACTGTGACATATTACACCCAAATATTCTTCATACAGCGACTACCAGTAACATTTATTAAAATGTGGGACCAAAAATGATTCAGACACTTCGACCTTGCTCAAGTGTTTTTTCTGTAATTGCTAATGCTCTTTTTACACACACACTGAACAACATGAAGCATTGCTTGGTCACTGGTTGAGCTAAACTGGTATTATCTAATTGTGGAGTTAAATTTAACAGCTGACAGATATTCAACATAATTCATGTGTGAGAGTCTAACAGAAGGACGGACAAAACCACTGAAATATCCACTGATCTGATAATGTAAGAAATGTTGAAGGTGTCTGAATAAATGTTGGCTTGACTATGTATTATGATAACTGGACTACAGCACAACATGTCATCAACAAACCTCACTGAAATAGATCACGAGTGGAGTGTGTACTTTGCGAGAGAAACGTTATTTGTGCGAGAACGGGAATTAGGGCTTTAACGCCTAATTGATCAAATCTATAATCTAATGAAAATAAGCTAATGATTTACATAAATGATTCAGGTTTGTGTGTAGTGCATGGACAATCTTTGCAGCTCCATCACTTTACAGTGGCGTAAACATTTGAAAACAGAACAATCTTATAGGCAGAAATGATACTAAAACTAACATCATGACTATAAAACTATCACAAAAGTAATTGTATATAAATGTAATAAGTCTCTTAATCTCTATAAATGTAATAAGTCTCTTATTTTAACAGGATACAGAAATATGCTATGTTCAGAGGAGTTAATGTTTGTTCCTGTAGAAACAACTCATTTATAGCAAAGCCTTCTTACATTTCACATGCGAGTCAATTTGCACTGTCTGGAGGACAACATTGGGCATTGTGGAATAAATGTGGTCAATTGTGTACGGCTGGGCATTGACACAAACTTCATGATTCAATTTTGATTCACAAGCATGCAAATTCGAATAGATTTCAGTTTGATTGAATTCAATATCAGTTGATTGGGTCCAATCAGGTACAGTACATGGCAAAGAAATCTCCCAACTAATGCTGTAAACTAGGGATGTCCCGATCCGATCACGCGATCGGAAATCGGGCCCGATCACGTGGTTTCAGACTCGATCGGAATCGGACGTTACCTCCCGATCAGGACTCGGATATATGTAAATTAGGGGTGTAACGGTACATGTATTCGTAATTCTTGAACCGTTTCGGTACGAGGCTTCCGGTTCGGTACGCATACAAACCGAACGATTCCTAGGACCATTTTTCCTGCAGACAAAATCCACGCTGGCGCGATCACCACAACGTTGCGCAACATCAAATGGCAAACGTAATGAAAGCGGAACGAAACTGCGCTACTCATTATATTGTGCTTAACGGACCCTTTATCAGTTTGGACCAGCAACATCTGTGCAGCGCGAGATCAAGCGACACTGTTACAACACAGCGCTAAGAGATCCAGTGAAGAAAACATTTGAATTCGCCACTGAAGTAATAACATCGCTGCGAGATCTAGTGAGAAGCATTCACATTTCTCCGTTATTAACCGTAGATCTCTATAAGATCAAACAGCGCTGACGTGGACACCAGGAGAAATATTGAGCCGTGAATGAACATGGATTTAATGTTGCACTTCAAAACTCAAATATTATATAAATATATATTTAATGGTTATTTTTAATGTGATTACCAAAACATTATTTGTTCATCCTTCAAAGATGACCCCCATTTATAAACCTGAAAGTTTCAAGATGTAGGAAAACTCAAACTTATTTAAAAATAGTTTTTCTTTAAATAAATAGAAAATTTCTGTGGCATTTCTTTCTTTTTGCTGTATCGTATCGAACCGAACCAAATTTTGTGAACTGTTACACCCCTAATGTATAAATATATTCTCATTATTTTTTAAACACTTTTAAAACATTTTTATTTTTTGTTTACATGCCTACCGGGTATTTTAAGTTGAGGTGCTATTTGTTTTTATATTAGACTTTTCCTATATTTACTGTTGCACCTAAAAGTCCAAAAGTGAAGATTTTATGTTATTTATTACTTGATTGTTCAAGCTACCTCACAGAAGTGCTCTGTTTGTTAACAGAGTTGTTGAATGTTAAAATAAGGTGAATTAAATAAAAAATAAGATAAAATAAATAAAAAAAAATATTATTTTTTTATGTATTATATAAGTATCGGATCGGGACTCGGTATCGGTAGATACTCAAAATCAAATGACTCGGACTCGAGGGCAAAAAAACCTGATCGGGACATCCCTACTGTAAACTACACCAGGAATCACAGTTTGTACATCACTGTAACATTAAAGGTTAAATTAGATTTGTAAGCTACTCACATTTAAATTAAACATGGAAGTTTTTATAATAACAGTGCTATAATACATTTTTAATGCCATAATTATGTTTCTACTCGTATTGTGAAATATTTAAATGGTGGCTGTCATAAAAACATGGATTTAGGCAATTCAAACATCAAATATTGCAGAACATGTTAATTAAAGATATAATGAATATGCAATATAGTGTATATATTTAGCAAAATGCCTTTGATGATCATTCATCTTTATTTTGTGTTGTAACTAGTAGTTAAATGGAAGTGATGATCGGTTCATGTGTGCTACGCTTGAACTGAACTTGGATGGGATATTCATCAACTGAAAACAGCATACACTGAAATGTGGATTCTTGGGATTTAAGAATCGATATCGGCTCTTCAAAATGAGAATTGAATAAAATCAAGAAATCTATATTTCTAACCCGCCCTAGTATTTCGATTTTGCATGGACTTTAAAGCATCTGATCAGCATTGACAACTTCACACCAGCTTTATGACGCTTACCGCTGCTCCATCGATTTTGTTGCCTTGATCATTCTTTTCCTTGGATTTCTCGGAGTCCGAGTCTGATTGGCTTCCAGAATCCGATCCACTTCCTGAGTCACTGCTCCCTGATTGGCTACTGCTAGAACTGCTACTGCTTGAACTCGAGCCCGAGCCCGATCCTGACCCAGACTCATCGTCTGAATTACTGAGACACAAACACACGTGTACATGAGTTCATTCCTCCAATACACCACATGCTTTGCATGATTATAAACTATGAAATCAATTACTTTTATCCATAAATAACTGTGAGCAGATTAAGAGATAGCATTTTTTATGATTAGACAATGTGATTGGCATAATTAGAAATGTCTAATTTATTCCTCCTCACGTTCCAAACTTTTATGGTTTTTGTACAAACAAACATATTAGACATGTCAATAATTTCTACATTAGTAAATAGTATTAATATTTTTACTTATCCAGCAAAATAAAACAGGTTTACGTAGTTTACTGGTGAAATCAGGACTAGGTACTGGAAATACTAGTCGACTAATAGGGAAAATGTCGCCGCTTCTGTAAACACTTTGCTAAACATTTTTTTTTACCAAAGCTATTCTGAAATTTCTGTCATGTTAATATTACCTTAAAAAAAAGTTATTTACAGTAACAGCAGTTTTATCATGCAGGCAGGACATTGTCATCTCATAAGACGAGCAAAGTAGCATGCTTCGTTATTCAGTATTCAGCATTAATTTAAGACTATATCACTTTTCAGAACTAGTTAAAACACTGACTGCAGATTAAAAGAACTGAAACCATGGATGACTGACAAGCACAAGTCTGGAGAAACAGGTGTAGTGTTTATTAATTGAGAAAGAGTGGAGGAACATAAGCGTAACTGATAACTGAAGTAGTCTGGCATGCCAATCAACTCCTGGTACTTTTTGGGATCCGTTACATGTAATGGTTCATTTTGATGCTATGTGTGAACAAACAGTTTGAGCAAGTAGGATGTTGAGATGCCCTGATGTGAAAGTCTGCTGTCAAAAACAGCGTCTACAACAGATGCTTAGCGGGACATCAAACGCAAATGGCTCAAATAACAATCAATGAAGCAGTCTTCGCTGCAAGAGTCTGTCTTTTCTGAAGCTGGACACATCCAGTTTCACAGTACGGATAAAGAAGCTCAAATATTCTACCTAAAAGCTTCTCTTTAACAGCAGAAAATAAAATGAAAATGCGAGCAAATGACAATTTACATTTACAATGCAAACTAATCCTTTAATATTCCTTTAACATGGAAATGGCATGTATTGCGATTACCTGGACTCTCCGCTGCTGTTGCTGACACTTTCATCCTCACTGCGTGCATCCATCTCAATCAAATATTAAAGATGAATCCCTGATGAGATCCGTACAGTCTGCGTGCGCCACTTCAGAGCAGCTCACCTGAACAGAAAGTAAAGTTGTAATTAGAACAGAAGCTCACACAAATGACAGGTTCATGTCAAAGTGACTTAACTTATGTTTGACAGTAAACATTACTGACAAGTCTGAAGCAGAGATGAACAAAACTATTTTAAAAACTCAAAACTCTGCTGCTGAAACTATTAGACAGCTAGTTTTTAGAAACGTTAAACAGTGTAACAAATAGAAACGTATTAGTAACTTGTTTGCTAGCATAACAGTAGCAGGAATGTAGAAAACTGCCAACATTTGTTTGCATATGATGTGCAGTATTTGTTTATTCCTCAGTATTGTAGCCATGATATTGCTGGAATAAACAATAACACCAACTGCTTCGTAACGAGGGTTACTTCTCTTCCTCTCTTCAAAACACAACTGTTTTTATTGTTAATGTGCGTACTTCAGTGACAAACCGCACGCAAAATCCACAGACGAATCGTAAAGAAGTTTCTCTTTTATGTAAAGCAAAATCTTAAGCACTGCCTAATGAATGAAAGTGCTGAGTGTGATGTTGACCGCAGAGGCCTCCAAGGTTCAGGCCTAAAAAGCCGCGGACTATCCTGCGCTGTACGGCCCCCTGAAGCAGCGCCATGCTCGGGCAAAGGCGCGCATTACTGTCGGGTCACCTTTATGTTCAAGGCCATTTACAAATATCAGTTGTCATGAAGTTTATCCCGTCTTAATAATAAGTTTCACATCACAAATCCATATTTTGGGACTATGTTTTGATCGTTTGCCCCACTTGTCGCGATGGATTGGCGCTACATTTCAAATCTTTCATCAGTCTCTTTCTGTTGTAGCAATGCTAACTTAGCTTAGCATGCTAAAGCTAAACGAGAAGCGCGTGTTAGCTATTTGGCTACCGGTCGCTAACACAGTCAAGCTATTGGAGTACAGTGTACACATAATATTGATACGAACAACAATATAACAACCTTCAGACCCCGTTTAGATCGTATCTTTCTAAGTTAAACATTATTTGTTTGTTTAGCCAGCTATTATTACGCGTGCTAAGCTAAACGAGCAGCCTCGCTCAACTGGAGTTTGATTTTATGGGACACCCTGCTTATAAAATCAGCTGACTTGTCTTAAGCCCGTAAAACAAGCAGTTGCGATACTGAACTCGTGGGTTTTGTCTCACGATCAGATGTACGCACTGAAATACAGGTGTTTTCAGCGTAATATTGTCTGATCATCATGCTGTTGTTGATTCCCGCACTGCGTTTCTGTAGATCCGCCGCTCGGTTTGTTTTCATTAGCTCTTAAAACACCCAAACACAGCATCCCGAGCAGTATACGGACATATACCGGGGAATAACCGGCCGCGACCGGTTTCTCGTCTACGTCCATCACGTTCTGCGCACAAGTGCGGTCATATTGAAGGTGTTTTGATGTGTTACCTGCCCGCCTGTGTGCGCGCTGCTCGCGGACTCTTTCTGATGATCGCCGCTGTCGCTCGAGAACTCCACAAAAACACTCTTACACACTTTACTCTGAGAGATGAGTTTCTGAGTTTCCCCTCCACGGTCAAGAGTGCCTTGGGATCAACTGCTAAACAGTTTTAGTGTATTCCATGTGCCGGGAAACAGACGGGATAGCAGGCATATTTCAGCTGTAAATCCTACACCAGCCGGTCTCTCTCCGCCATGACGCGCTCGAGCACAGAGAGAGAGAGAAACCCCGGGCTGTGACGTCACCCGGCCGCGGCGAGCTCCCGCGGAACCGGCTGTTATATAAGAAAAGATCCGTAGGTAGGGATGCTTGTTTCTCTCAGACTACATGGGGGAAAGTTTGCGTTTTTGTCTATCTAAAAAATTCGAGAATTACATTTAAAAATTCTTCATGAGCAAATTTGTCTGTAATAGGCCTACACTTTATTAATATTTTTTGGGATATCGATTAAAGTCGTTTTGTATAGATGTGACAGAAAATATAGGTTACATGTTTTTTTTTTTTTACTTTTAGAAGGATTTATAATTTTTCAACATAAATCTGGACATCATGTTGATATAACTTCCAAATATGTTTTTATATATTTTGAGTTAAAAAAAAAGCATCTTATAAACTTATGGTGAATCTTATGATTTTATTTGGTAAATTCCATATACATGAAAGCAAAAGAAGCAATAATGGCAGTGTCCGAAATTGCATAGCCTACTCTCTTAAGTAAACTTCACGACCACTAAAAAAAAGTACGCTGTAGGCTATAGTATGAATGTCCGTTGCTTAGGCCTGAATGTAATCTGGAGTGGACGCACCACATTCACCTTGTTGTCATTATCATGTGATCTACCAGTGTAAGTTACATCGCTTCACTGTCATTCAATATCCTCTCCTGTGGCCTCATGCCATGGGATAGTAAAGTGTCCATCGTATACTTATACAGAATCTCGCCGGAAGAAGGTCATCCGGGGACTTTCTCCTACTCTTTTATGAGTAGCCTACTGTGAATTCAGACATACTTCTTTTGTCACATACTGTTTTTCGCCTACTATATAGTAGGGAAGTATGTGATCTCGGATGCAGCACATGTTTTAAAGACCCACTGAAGTGTCTTGAAACGTGCAGCATTATTCAATGTGTTGACGTAATTTCCATAGGGCTACAGTAAAAGAAATGGACACAGCACATAGGACACATAGATTTCAACGGAGAAAAGTGAAGCCCATTAGAAGCATCTCTTCCTGATGGCTGAGCGACTGCGCAGACTCAAACTGAGCTGGACGACGGAGATGTGACGTGAGCCTGTCTGACAGCTGTAAGTCTTCTAGTAGCGGTGCCGAGAGGAATCTGAAACATTCAGAGCTGGAGAGCGTGACTAGGAGCTGTCCATGAGCAGCAGGATAAACTTTATGACTCTCTATGGGCTTCTCCATCGACTTTATGCCTCCACGTCTCCCCGATTGACATGAGCTTCTTCTCCTGTCTATACGGTAATTTCTCTATTGTGCGACAGAGAGTCGCGTGTTATGACGCAGTCGTTAGCCTATTTTTACAAAAACGGCTTCTACGGGGCCATAACGTAGGATACAAGGTAATGGAGCCTTTTATACATTGTCGTGTTTCTTTAGAAATAAACAATGGACAAATGGAGTCTTTAAACGCCTCAGATGTAAAGTTATTCGCTGTCAAAGTGACGCCAAAATGAATGGGAGTCAATGGGATGCTAACAGCAGGTGAAGGCTTGCTAGCCAATGGCGGCCCCCGGGGAGACTTCAGTCTCCGGCTGGTGGATTACACCCTTGGTAATTTCCACTGAAACAGGAAGAGAGGGCGGAACATATCGAACAGCTCCTCCCCTTTTCTAAAATACCCAATAGCGTTTAGTTTATATCACAGCTCGGACAGAGCCATTGAGCTCGGTAAAGCTGCAGTTTCCTCTTTCTCCTCCTGATCTCCTCCATATCGCTTTAAAATACAGTATTATGGGCAGAATTCAAATTGGTCTGATAGGTTTTCTGTTCTGCGTGACTCTCACATGATCTGCTGTGTATCGTGTCTCTGGAGCGGAGCTGCGGCGGTTCACATGACACTAACCTGAAACCAGACTTCATTCGCCCCGATGGAAAACATATTTACACTGAATCACTCCCTATCCCCTATATAGTGCACTATCTGCCATTCACCATGGAGAAAATAGTAAATGTGTGAACAAGTGACCGATTTCAGTCGCAGCGTCTATTTGGGGGCGGAGCTTCAGATTCTAGAGAGCATTTGATTAGTCAGGAAATCTGATGAGAAGCTGAAGTGCAGAGTGATGTCATCAAAATCACTTATCCATATTGAGAGACTGCAAGTTTTAGATGCTTATATCTTCTAAATGCGAATTTTGTCATTTTTTTTAGCACACTAGAAAACACAACGCTAACATATTGATACTAAAGCCAAAAAACTTCAATTCAATTTTGATTTCATGGGGACTTTAAGATCGAATTCTTTGTTTATTGACTCTCTTAAATGTATTGATAACAAAAAATCTATACAACTGTTTTTGATAAAGAGTTAAAGGTGAAAAGTAAAACTTTGAAAATACTGTCTTTATATTATTTAATTATTTAGTTATTTTAAACCCTGTCTTGCTGTGTGTCTAGCATTCAATATTATTACAACAGCAGGATCAAAAAAGAAGAAATTAAAAATATGAACACCAGAATCACTGATAACAAAAATAGCAGTGAGATTTGTTATGCACATCATTTTTTCATTACTTGTTGTTTTAATGATTGTACCCTCTAAGTATTTTCTGTTTTTATTTGTTTGCTTGTTTGTTTACCCTGCCTTTGCTCCTAAATTATTATTTTGTAATGGTATAAATATCTTTAACTATGTAAATGCACTATATACCTGCTTGAGTTGTTCCTGTACCGTGTTCAAAGCAATGAAACGAAAGCAAAGTGACGGCATGTGTGATGATGATGTTATTAAATAAGTCAATGTACTGTAACTGATGTAACAATTTGGCTCTCATTGGTTCAGGAAGTAACTAAAGCCTTGCATTTTTTTCACTGAAAGTACCTTCTAAACCTTAATGCTCACTGAATTATCTTCGCAATAAATGGCCTAATCAGAATGAGGAAATAGATATTAATTAGAGGCAAGGTGCCTTATCTCGACTGAACAGGTTTTCTTTGCTTTACTAAGGGTTTTATAAGCCTGTCATAATGAGCCAGGTAGTTACGAATATCACAGCACTATAAAACATTTTTGTATTTTCAACAGAAAAAAGATTTTAAAATGGCACAGTAAAAACCTGTGAATTTCTTTAATTGTACCTTTGTCAGGTGTATGTTTAGTTCTGTTTAGTTTATTTGTCTTATGGTGATGTTTTTCCTGTTTTTGTTTGCCTGAGTTCTGTCATTATTAGTTGAGCAATGAATCCTTGAGGACCACACCAAGGATTTTGTAGACTCTGCGCATGTTTTTCAGGACCAGCCTGAACGAGCGCACAAAGGCACCCCTGACTGGTGATGGTCCTTGGGGAAATTTGGCTGGACAACACTTTGGCGTTAATTTTCTGTCCCGCTGGGGAGGACATCAGTAGCCCCACTCCGGACCCAGAGCCCAGCCAGCCACCTCCCAAACCATGCAAGGAGCATCCGGCAGAGCCCACCGCAGACACGGAGCCAGAGCCTGCCGCGATGTCAGCACCAGTAAGAATCAAGACTGAGCCAATCATTACCCCGGAGCCCGAGCGTAAGGGAATGTCTGACCAGTTGCGTGAGCCGGTTACACCATCCGTCACTGCGGGTGTCATTATAGAGTTTGAAGGCATGGAGTAGAGCCACGTCCACGTTCGTGAGCTGCAGCTGGCCTCTTCATTGTATGAGGAATTGGAAGATGGTATTTCCCTGTGTCTCCTGAATGTCTGACCAGATCAGGTGGAGTTTGTGTCTCCTGAATGTCAGACCAGATCAGGTGGAGTTTGTGTCTCCTGAATGTCAGACCAGATCAGGTGGAGTTTGTGTATCCTGAATGTCAGACCAGATCAGGTGGAGTTTGTGTCTCCTGAATGTCAGACCAGATCAGGTGGAGTTTGTGTATCCTGAATGTCAGACCAGATCAGGTGGAGTTTGTGTCTCCTGAATGTCAGACCAGATCAGGTGGAGTTTGTGTCTCCTGAATGTCAGACCAGATCAGGTGGAGTTTGTGTCTCCTGAATGTCAGACCAGATCAGGTGGAGTTTGTGTCTCCTGAATGTCAGACCAGATCAGGTGGAGTTTGTGTCTCCTGAATGTCAGAGCAGATCAGGTGGAGTTTGTGTCTCCTGAATGTCTGACCAGATCAGGTGGAGTTTGTGCCTCCTGAATGTCTGACCAGATCAGGTGGAGTTTGTGTCTCCTGAATGTCAGAGCAGATCAGGTGGAGTTTGTGTCTCCTGAATGTCAGACCAGATCAGGTGGAGTTTGTGTCTCCTGAATGTCTGACCAGATCAGGTGGAGTTTGTGTCTCCTGAATGTCTGACCAGATCAGGTGGAGTTTGTGTCTCCTGAATGTCTGACCAGATCAGGTGGAGTTTGTGTCTCCTGAATGTCAGACCAGATCAGGTGGAGTTTGTGTCTCCTGAATGTCAGACCAGATCAGGTGGAGTTTGTGTCTCCTGAATGTCAGACCAGATCAGGTGGAGTTTGTGTCTTCTGAATGTCAGACCAGATCAGGTGGAGTTTGTGTCTCCTGAATGTCAGACCAGATCAGGTGGAGTTTGTGTCTCCTGAATGTCAGACCAGATCAGGTGGAGTTTGTGTCTCCTGAATGTCAGACCAGATCAGGTGGAGATTGTGTCTCCTGAATGTCTGACCAGATCAGGTGGAGTTTGTGTCTCCTGAATGTCTGACCAGATCAGGTGGAGTTTGTGTCTCCTGAATGTCAGACCAGATCAGGTGGAGTTTGTGTCTCCTGATTCTGAATGTCTGACCAGATCAGGTGGAGTTTGTGTCTCCTATATGTCAGACCAGATCAGGTGGAGTTTGTGTCTCCTGAATGTCAGACCAGATCAGGTGGAGATTGTGTCTCCTGAATGTCTGACCAGATCAGGTGGAGTTTGTGTCTCCTGAATGTCTGACTAGATCAGGTGAAGTTTGTGTCTCCTGAATGTCAGACCAGATCAGGTGGAGTTTGTGTCTCCTGAATGTCAGACCAGATCAGGTGGAGTTTGTGTCTCCTGAATGTCTGACCAGATCA